ATTTTTGCATCTAGGTTCATCAGCGATATTGGCCTGTATTGTTCCTTCTTTGTATTGTCCTTGTCTGGCTTTGGTATCAGAGTGATGTTGACTTCGTAGAATGTGTTAGGAAGTGTTACATCTTCCTCTATTTTTTTGGAATAGTTTGAGAAGGATAAATATTAAATCTTCTTTGAATGTTTGGTAAAATTCTCCAGAGAAGCCATCTGGTCCTGCACACCTTCCTTTGTGTGTTGTGTTGGAGGTGATTCTCAAATCTTTCCTTAGACCTTTGAAAGCCTTCATTGGTTGTGGAGAGAAATCTCACTATCAGAGGGCTGAGAAAAAAATGAATACTTAATACTCTCTTTAGTAGGAAATAGAGACTTTGCTGAAAATCCTTACAGACTATTGTCTATGATAGAGCTTTGGACTTTTGGTTCACTCTTACAAATTGAATCTGTTTTTTGCTTGGCAAGGAAAAGGGAGTTGTCTTTATCGTCAGCCAACAATTCCCCCCAAACAGGTAAGAAGGATTGTTTTAGAATTTTCTTCTTTGGAGCCTTATTAATAGTATAGGTAGAGCTTTATAATATATATAGATATAGATATAGATATAGATATATAGATATAGATATATATGATATATATAGAGAGAGAGCTTTACATAATTTTCTTGGGTGTGCTGGAGGAATGGGAGTCAGAGAAGGAACCGGAGCACTGAACAGTCCACTCTTGTTCTCTTGTGTTTGTAATCCAATCTAATATTTATCTTTTAAGAATAAAAGGAAAACTTCTAAGTGTTAAATACGTTATTTTCATATTAAATAGTACAAATAGTGAAGTACAAATATATTACAAACCCCTAAGTCATGGTGGTCCTCAGGTGCTCTTTCTGGTCCTCTGCCTGATGCCATGAGCAGGGTCCACGAGTAGCGCTGATGTTTTCTGTACTCCTGTACTGCCTGTTGGTAAAGCAGCAGGAGGAGGGGCCTTGGCTAGTCTCTGGCTGTTCTCAGGATTCCTTGTGTGCTAGACAGTGTTGTGGGTCATGGGGGTGTCCATTGCTAATTGCCACTATGGTGCACATTGTTTGCTGATCTCAGGGAACTGGAGAATTTTCTGACAGAGTTACTGGAGTGTCCATTTTAGTGTCCACCCTAATTCCCAGAGTGTTGGTTAAGTTGGTGTGGTCTGTGTCGGGGAAACATGCTACAGCCTTTTGGCAGCATCACTGTTAGTTACCATTTTGTGAGAAGAGATTGAAAAATGGTCAGAAAAGTATCATTTTCTGTAGAAATATGGGAGTTAGGATATGAGAATATATAAAATATAGATTTGAAATTGTGTACGTCAACTTTACAGAATAAAAGTTGGATAAGTGTTTAGTACTTTCACTTGTTTTTATATTTGTATTTAAAAATTACTTTTATGCCCCTTTTGTTTAGTCGGCCTATTTTTAGGCACAATATTCTTAGCCAGCCTGTGGGCTCCTGAGATAACTGGACTAAACTAGTAATTCCTTGTTCAACTTGCAAAGTCCCATTGAGAAAAGGAACGGCTGCGCTTATGCTGTGATTGCATTGGAAATAGTCCTCTCCTGTGTTTGCTCTCATGTGCACACTCTGGCTGTTTGAGAATTCAAATCTGAAACATATAATGGGGAAACAAGTTTCTTCTCTTTATGCATAATTAAATTATTTTTAAATTTAGAGGCTTAATGTTAGCAATAATATGCAATTAAGTAGTAAATAGCTTTTAATTAAGCTATCAAGTGTTCCCTGTGTGCCGAGCCCAGGAAACAGTCCTCTCCGGCTGTTGAAAACGGACCGCTTTCCTCAAGGTGGACAGAGCACGGACTTGGGAGTCAGACCCAGTTTCCAGTCCTGTAGCTACTACCCACCGTCTCTGAGACTTATGCGGACTTCAGCAGCATAGAAATGATACCATCTGTCTGCGGAGTGGTTGTGAGAAATGACATAGGCATCAGTGTTTCCTGGATACTTTGTGTTGTGAAATGTGACTAGATCCTTGAAGAGGTGCTTTCGTGAGCGAATATGTCTGGAGTGTGCAGCCTGCTCTCTTCTTCTCTTGGAGGTTCCTGCTGTGGATGAAGACATTGGGCTCTGAGAACCCCGTTGGTCAAGAAATCTGCTTTGCTTTGTTGAACTTGGCATTTCCCAAATAGAACTTCTCCTCCCTTCTTCCGCCACCCCCCCTTCCCCACACCGTGGAATACCTGCAACCTGTTTTAGTTTCCTTTCATTTTATGGAACTTGATTTTGAAAATAAAGTGCCTAGCACAGGACCCCTAATTCGTACTTGAAAAATGATAGTTTTGTTTTCCTCCTTTTTAGTGTTAATTTTAATGGTTTAAAACTGATGGAGGGGCCGGCCCCGTGGCTTAGCGGTTAAGTACGCACGCTCCGCCACTGGCGGCCTGGGTTCGGATCCTGGGCGCACACCGCCGCACCGCTTCTCCGGCCATGCTGGGGCCGCGTCCCACATACAGCAACTAGAAGGCTGTGCAGCTATGACATACAACTATCTACTGGGGCTTTGTGGGAAAAAAATAAATAAATAAAATTTAAAAAAATAAATAAAAATAAAACTGATGGAAACTCAGAGCCCACTTTAATTTTAATTCAACCTTCTAAGGAAGTAATAAGCCATTTTTTTCTTCCAATTTTATTGAGATATAATTGACATACAACACTGTAAGTTTAAGGTGTACAGCATAATGACTTGACACACGTGTATATTGCAAAATGATTGCCACAATAAGTTTAATTAACACCCATCCATCCATTTAATAATTTGCTATATTTTATCCCTAATTTACTATCTTTTAGTTCATATCTTTTACCCAAAATATTGTCATAGACTTTGATATTAAAATCCGGGAAAAGCAAGTATAGTGGTATGAGAGTAAGAATCTTAGAAACTGAGTATCTGGTTAAATTTCTGCTTCAGTAATTCAACACAATTTAAATATTCATAAACATTCATAATATTTCTTGAAGTATTGCTCTAGGCCTCTGAGAGTTACACAGATGTATTAAAGGATGTGTTTTAGATACTTCCTGCACCTGCCTTGAACCACTCAACACTACGCATGAAGCATCCATGTCTTTCTTGAGTGATTTCTAAGAATTCTGCAGATTTAAAAAATGAGAAATAACATCTTTGCAATAAAAAAGCAATAGATGTTAAAAAAATAAAAAGTAGAAGAGTATTGTTTGTTTTAGAAAAAAATTGAAAAACATAGATAAAAAGAATAAAATATAGATAAAAAGAGTTACTTTATAACCAGAGATGTTTGTTGCTGACATCTTATCCTCCTAGACTTTTTCTTGTGTGTTTCACAAAAATGGTGTCATATTATACATGCTAGTTCGGAGCCTGCTTATTTTACTCACAGAAGCAAAGTGAAGGTCCTTTTTTATGCCAGGAAGCCCCCTCACCTCCCCCAAGAGTCTACCTTAACAGGGTGCCCTCTCTCCCTCCCCACCCTGTTTCCCGGCAGGAGTTTGAGGTCAGGAGTTGGAGGTCGGAGGAAGAGTAGTGGGAGGAGCGAGCTCTGGTGGAGGGAAGATTGTCATACATTATACCTGTCCTTGTTGGTTATGCTTAAACTACTGGTGTATGTGGAATTATGCCGAGTACACATCTTTTATTTTGGTGAGTTATGTTGTAGTGACCCAAAAAGACTGTGTTTAACTTATTGCTTAGAAGGAAAAAAGGTGGTTTGGAAATGTCAGGAGCTGGTGTATGTGTACTGTGTACACCTAGACTTAAATGTAAAACCTGAAGTCATTGTTATGGAGTGCTGGATGGTTCATTGCCTTTTTAAATTAAATTAAAACAAAAAGCCTAATAGAAAGGCATAGGACATTTTTCTCTTGATGAAAGATATTCTTGAAAAAAAAGTTGTTATTAAACATGTTTTAATCTGATTTTATTATTTAGAGCTTGCTTTAATGATACCAAGAACTGACAGAGATGAGATTCTATTACTATTTTTCTGAAATTTAATTTTTTTTTTAAATAAAAGGTGGCTATCATCCAGTGAAAATTGGAGACCTCTTCAATGGCCGGTATCATGTTATTAGGAAGCTGGGATGGGGACACTTCTCCACTGTCTGGCTGTGCTGGGATATGCAGTAAGTGTTTTTGTCATTTGTGTGTCTGATTCCTGGTTTAGGTCAGCATCTTTGTTTGACAACAAGGTGTGGCTGAGGGCACACCTACTTCTGTCGTGGCATGTGAAGTGCTTAGCACAGGCCTGCTCCTCCTAGCTAGACTCCCCCCCCCCCAATTGGAAGTTTATTGGCCTGTTATCTTAAAATATCAACTTTATCTTACAGTGTTAACTTTCTTCTGGCTTTGTATCTGAAGCTTATTCATTGAAATTACATTACATTGGGGTCATACTGTTTTTCTTATTAATTCATCTGTACCAGAAAAAACATTCAAATATAAAATAATAATGTATAGACCTTTCAAATCAGTGGTCTCTGACTTTTTTTTTAAAGCCATGACCCATAGTATGAAACTGCATTGCTAGCCAGTACTCATATACATGTGTTGTGTGTGTATGAACTGAAACAAAAGTGTTACAAGATCTTACCCTTACTATATGTGATGAACTCTGACATTTTTCTAGTCTACCTTATTTTTATTAGGAAAAAAACAGAAACACAAAGTAAAAAAGAGGTTGTATTGACCCATGAACCCACTGCTTAATTGTGGCTCCACAATTTGAAAAGTACTATTTTAAAGGAAAGCTTATTAAAGGTTTCCATTTATTGGATAGATCTCATTATAATGATCACTTCTGCTGATATGCATTTTTTTTAAAGGGGGAAAAGATTTGTTGCAATGAAAGTTGTAAAAAGCGCCCAGCATTATACGGAGACAGCCTTGGATGAAATAAAGTTGCTTAAATGTGTAAGTACTACAAAAATGTGAATGATACAAGAAAAATTAATGACTTAAAATTTCAGAGGGATTTTTCTGGGTTTTACTGAATTAAAATTGTGTTTATTTTTTATAAGTTCAAATACTGAATCTTATTTCTAAAAGCATCACTTTTATTAAAACAATTTACTATAATGGAAATGACTTTCGGTCTTAAATGCTTCTGTTCTTGAATTCGTTTTTTTCCCATAGGTTCGAGAAAGTGATCCCAGTGACCCAAATAAAGACATGGTAGTGCAGCTAATAGATGACTTCAAGATTTCAGGCATGAATGGGATACGTATCCTTTCTGACAGTTCTGTTACTTCTTAATGGCTGAATTATATGATAGTTTTTCTTTTTACTTTAAAAAAAAGGAAATATTTCAAGCAAACTTCTGTTTGCTGCTGTGTCGCTCCGCATCAAGCCTCTAGTGTCGCTGCACGGTGTTACAAGATGGTGCGCCTGGAGTGGTCTGCAAGGGCCCTTTGGGGCTTTTTGGTGTAGTCGCATCTTATAAAATTATTTTTACAACAACCTGACTTATTTTGGCATAGAATTAGTTAATGTTTTTTATTAATTCTAGTGAAGTTTATTTTGCAGTGGTAGATGGAAGTGCACACCAGCACTTCTTTTTGCTTTAAACTTTTAAAAATCAGTACACAAGGGCTATGTATTCCCCAGTAGCTGCAGAGAATCATGTGAGGTGGAGGCAATAAAAGGAGAAATGCTCTGCGAATGTCGACATAGCAGAGTTGCACTTGCTCCTGCAGAGGACTGTCTTTCTGCCAGGTGAATATGGAAGTATTTTGGTTTTATTTATTTTGCTCCTAGTTTGTCTACTTTGGAAAAGCCTGATAAAAGTAAAGTGATGTGTTTTCTGTAGTAGTTGGTAAATCTCACATAAGCCAGTGCTTAATGGAAGAGACCTCCATTGTTTCCTTTAAAAACATTTATAATGTGGGGCCGGCCCCGTGGCTTGGCGGTTGGGTGCGCGCGCTCCGCTGCTGGCGGCCCGGGTTCGGATCCCGGGCGGGCACCGGCGCGCTGCTTCTCCGGCCATGCTGAGGCCGCGTCCCACATGCAGCAACTGGAAGGATGTGCAGCTACGGCATACAACTATCTACTGGGGCTTTGGGGGAAAAATAAATAAATAAAATCTTAAAAAAAAAAAAACATTTATAATGTAAAGTTTCTAACATACATAAAATTAGAGAGTGTAGTACAGTGAATTTCTATAAATCCGACACTCAAATTCAATAATTATCAAGGTCTGGCCACAACTGCTTCTTTTATCCTTTTTCTCTTGCTGAATTATTTCAAAACAAGTCCTAGAAGTTATGTTCTTTTACCTCTACAAATGTCAATGTGTGTCTTTGAAAAATATGAACTAAAAAAAAAATCATAAAACTCATCAAATAAAATAAAAATAATTTCTTGGTATCACATCATACTCTTTATTCAAATTTACTTGGTAATGCAAAAATGACTTTTTAAACACTTATATGAGTTATATTCTATAATCAAGGTTATTTTCTAAGTCTTTTCTCTTCTCCTTAAGTCTGTATCAACTTACTTTAGTTGTTTAAAGATTAAATTGTTCAATTTACTTTATTTTTTTTTAGAATATCATACAGAGTATTTGCTTTCTCAAAAAGAAATTATCCTGATGAAAATTGATGATTCTTGAAAGATGGAAGTTTCTTAGTTAGCTGTAAGGTTAGTTGTTCCTTTTGCTTCTTAAATAGGGATGGCTTTGTCCTAATTTTGGGTCTCTTGGAAAAGAAATGTGACAGGGCAAGGGCATCTTATGACTTCCTTATTTGTTTTGAAAATATTAGTTTTGACTGGGATCCTCGTAAGTTGTTTGCATTCTTGTCAGTTTTTATGGGGCTCAGGAGGAGGTGATTGGAGGTTGTGGGAAGGAACTCGAGTCTTATCTTCCCCCACCCTCTGCCAGGGCAGTGACAGCAGAGTAACCCAAGCCCAGAGCTCAGAGCTCGTGACTCACGTGGAGAGAAGAGCCAATGCTGTGAGTCACCAGAATGCACTTTCCGTGTTTTCACACTGCATCCTCTAAGATAGCCCTTTGGGTGACTGACATAGGTGATACCTTTGTTTCCCCAGGTTCAGGAGTAGTGAACCGCTTATTCAGAACCCTGTGACTGATGAGTGCCAGAGGCGTGTCAAGAGCCAGGGTCATCTCCTTCCTGATCTTTTTCTCTTTCCTTTATGTCATGTTTGGAACAGATCCGGCATTTTGATGTTTGACCTGCTCAAGCTCCAGAAGCCTGAGGACAAAGCCTTCTCCCAGCTTAACCCCCAGAATAACGTCCTGTTTCTGTATCTGCTAAGTCGTGATCCCTTAGGGAAGAACTCCCCTCATACCCTACGGATTTGAGGAAGTTTTTGTATTTCTTCTAGAGATTGGACGCAAGGATACTAGCATGTACCAGTGACTGCTGATGTCACCTTGCCCTTTGCCTCATGATCACTTCTGCTAACTGCTGAGAGCATTTTTCCCTCTAGTAGCTAGAAGGGTAGAGCTCGTCCTTCTCTGACCCTGCTCTCTGAGGGAGCCTATTGGTTTGTGGGCAGGCAGGCAGCCCCTCCTGTTGAATCAGATGGCCAAGGCAGTTCCTGGGATGGCTCACAGGGAGAAGGTTTCTTTGGAGAAACCATCTGATTTGTAGGTAAATGGAGGTTTTTTTGGCGTATATATTCTAGTGGCTATTTTTTACTGTTAAATAAAATACTAAGAAACCATCGCAGTCCGGATTTGTCATTGTTTTGCGAAGACTTCATAATTTAGAAATCTTGGGCTTCGGATCTGTGTCTGTTACTAACTTTGGTCCATAGTTTTGCCGTTTTTCATAATGAGCCTGGGATATAGTAAGAAACTTCTGGCTTTAGATGATCTATGCATAAATCTATAGTTTGTATGTTCTCCAACATTGTAGAAATATTTTTCTTATTTTTATTAAAAATATTTAAAGCAATGGTTACTGTGATGTGGTAGATGCAGGTATTGTAAAAAAATATTAAATCAACTAACCTTCTTTAATAGCCTTCTATAGGCCTCCAGGGGTGAACAAAATACTCTTAAAGGGTTTCAGAGCCATTTTAAATCTTCCTGTATGAATGACATGAATATATTTGTATGATGGACTTTGGTGGGTCATAGACCCAGAGGGTCAGTGATTGACTAGAATTTCTGTTTTTGTTTTTTAAAAAAACCATGTTCCTGAGATTTCATTATTATAGGTTGGTCTTAATGCCATGTCTTATATTGTGATCATATATTCTTAAGAACTGCCTGTAGTATTAAAATTGTCTAGTTATGCAGCAAAAGATATTATTGAAGGAAAAAATTAAATGTCTTCAATGTGTTTGGTAAATTTCTGTTTTATGAAGTGTTTCATCTGGCCTATGGACTAGAAATTTAGGTAGGCAGGCAGGACACTTAGGACAGGGAAGTTGTTCATTGTTTTCCTCATGAGTTTCTATGATGCTTCAGTCTCGCTCACGTTCATTGAGGCTGATGGTCAAGGAGGAGTGTGTGATGTGAGCGAGCGCACAGGAGAGTTGTGGGGCTAGTCATGGCTCGGCCGCCTCTGGACTGTGTGACGCAGTAAGTTCTCGAAACTCTCTGAGGTTTACTCTCCTCATTTCTGTGTTGGGATAAGTACATTATTTCCTAAGGTTGTTACGAATACACATTAAATAATATGTGGCACATAATAAGTACTTAGTAAATGTTAGATTATTTTATTTAGGTGAGAAACAGCAAATGACCACTTTTGGGTATTATTGATATGACTGATGTTGCGTTTTACAAAGAAATAAATGTTTTGTTTGCCAAGTGCCACAGTGATGCTGCTTTTAGTAACTGCATCACTCCAGGAAACATATCCATAAATGATCCTTAACCGTGTCCCAGATGTCTGCATGGTCTTTGAAGTGCTTGGCCACCATCTCCTCAAGTGGATCATCAAGTCCAACTACCAAGGCCTCCCCATACGTTGTGTGAAGAGTATCATTCGACAGGTGAGGCTGATGAGGGCAGCCCCCACCCCCTCCCCAGTACCTAACTGGCTAGTTTTCCAACACGAATTCCTGGTTTTACATTAAAAAAAATGTGTGTGTGTGTGTGTATACACACTCACAAACCTATACACATATATATATTTTAATGTGTATATAATTCCTGTTTTAAAAATATATACATGTAGTGCATAGCATTTTTAACTCGTTAAATCAATTTTATATTTATTTGATGATGTGCCTTTCTGTCTTGTAAAGGGAGCAATATGTAAATGTCAGGCACACATTTCCTTTGGTGTATTGATCTTTTTTAAGGTAAGTGATGTGGTATAATAAGAAATTGTTTTATCCAGTATCGTTACTATAAAATGTGCCACTTATCTTAGTTCCTTAGAACTTAGTTTCTTAGAAAATAATTCATAAGAAGTAGATAATTTATTGTGTTTATTTGCTATTTCTAAGTATCTTTGGATGGAGGGTAAATGAGAGAGAATTTAAAGAATGTTTAAGTTATATAGGAAGTATTGAGTTAGATTTGTACTTTGTTCTATTGCCTTGACAAAAGAAAACCTTTAGCTAAGGTCTGGTTTGGCGATGCTGCTTCAGCAAATATTAATAGAATGAGAGTACACACATATGGAAGAGCTCCTTCTACTTAGAAATGTTTGCCGGATTCAGTTTTCTGCATGGAATGTATCAGTCTGTATTCCCCATTGCCCTTACAGCCTAAATTAGGAAAGTTGTAGATATTACTTATTCTAGATTACCGCTTCTGATATAATGGATAATTACCATGGATAATTCTGCAAAGTGAGTAATATATGGTTTGCTTGAGAAGACAAGTAGGTGGTCTGGAACCCTTCCCTTGCCCCCAGGCCCCAAGCTGGAGCTGGACCTGCCAGGGGGTTCTAGACCTGAAATACAGGCCTTGGTCCAGAATTCTTAAATAAGAAAAGAATCGGGGAATGATTCGATGCGCAAGTGAAGAATTGTGAATTCAAGAGATGGGTGCCTAAAAAAGAACCTTTTTCCTAGCAATTGTAGATAGTATTTGCATGCATGCATATGAGGAGATTTTTGAACGCATTTTATAAAAACTTTGAAGCTTAAATTTGTTTAGTAAAAGCATCGTAGATTTTGCTTCTGAAATTGTGTATAGGTAGCTTTGTCTAATCAGCCTGTGAGTTCTTCTCTTCGTTTGTCTTCCTGTGCTGCAGATCAGCAGCTTGTTTTCTAATGCTGTAGGTGGTGTTTGAGAAGAGGGCTGGAGAGAGGAGGGCTCTCTGCCTTGGCGTACACAGTGGGGTACTGTCCTTATCTGTGGTGTTATGTTAGGTATACATACCTGCCTCCTGTAGATTTGTGGCTGGCTTTTGTTTAATAATATGTCTGTTCCCTTTTAGATTTTAGATAGTACCATTTTAATTCATTATTTTAACATGGCTAATATCTCAAGTGAAAAAACAGTAGTTTTCCTTTAATGTAGAAGAAGATACACGATAAGTGAGGAGGAAAGTTACTACGTATGTTAATTGAAGTTATTTGATCCCCAAATGACACTTTGGTATTTACAACTGTTAGTGGCAACTTGAAACTCTAAAAAAATCATCTTGTTAAAACTCTAAAAAAATTTCTTAATTATCTCTGATAAATCCTGAAAATATTACAAGTTGAAAGAGTCTGTAAATCTAAAGATGAAATTCTTGGAGTTGAATAGAGCTTTAATGCATACTTGCTGAGTGAACAAGTGATTTAATGAATGTGTTAGCCTCCCTGTAATTCCTGTACACTGTGCTTTGGAGACGAAGAGCTCTGGTAGTATTTTATTGGTTTAGAAAAATTTCAGGATGAAAGTTTGTTTTTATGTGGTTTATACTTAGATCTTATAGGCAGTATTAGTAGAAGTTTTGTTTTAGTGTGAACCCATCTTTAATTTTATTTAAGAAAAATATTATCATGGAATCTGGATTTTTTTCCCTAAACTTATAGCTTTCAAAGTAGTAAATTGTTATGTGTCGCAGTTAATAATCTGTATACCTGAATTTCCCTTCCTTTCCTTTGATTTAGCCTATGGGTTCAGTATTCCTGACTCCTAGGGCACACTCGGAAGATCTTTTATCAGTAGACCTACACAGTTACATCACGTCCCGGAGCAGCTGAGGCAGACCAGCTTTCCACCACTCTCACTGTGTGGCCTCCTTCACCTTCTTGTAATTACTTCACGGCATTTCAGTCGTCCCTGTTGCCCTGTCACTTGCTATGCTCACCAGTCACTGAGCCCTTGGTCCCTCCAGTGCTGTGCCTTTTACTCTTGATGTCATTTCCATTTCCAGCGCCTCCATCCTTAGTTCAGGCCCTTGTCTGCTCCAGCTGGTACCTTTCACAGGCTTCTCTCTACTCCCCCGGAGTCCGGCCCATCTTATTTCCACTTCCCTATTCCAGGTTATTCTCCTTTCCATTGGCGGTTACCTTGCTAAGAAAGACTTTGTTTAATAATTCATATTCCCCATTTAGAAACCTTTAGTGGCTTTCCATTGCCTTATCGTTGGCTTTCATGAAGCAGTATGTGCAGTAAAGAGCTTGGGTTTTGGTGTTAAATATACCCTACTCTAGCTAAGGACTTTGGCCAAGTTACTTAACCTCCTTAAGCCATAATTTCGTCATGAATAAAATGAGAATAATGTGCCTTCCTTATTGTTAAGATGTAAAGGGATACTACTCTTAATAATTACAAATATTTATTCAGTGCTTACTATGCACTGGGCACGGTTCTGAGTACTTTGCAAATTTTAGTTCTTTGAATCCTCACAGTAACTCTATGAAAAGAGATATTTTTACTCTCTCAATTTTATGGAAGAGGAACTGAGGGACAGAGAGGTTAAGTAACTTGCCCCTAGTCAGGAAGTAACTTAAAAAGTAGTAAATGGTGGAGCAGGAATTCAAACCAGGTAGTCAGGCTTCAGAACTCATGCTTTTACCATTTTGCCAAGCAGCCTATCATGTCCTTGAAATTGTGCTTGCCCTTTGTCCACTAAAAGTTAAATCACTGTTCTTCCTATGAACCTGTTTAAGTTCTGCCATCTGGTGTAAGTCCATATTTCCCCTTATAAACCTTGATCCGGCTCCTTTTACTTGGGAGGTAAATTTTTTTCACATTAATTAATCTTTTAAATAGGTAATATGCATAGATATTCTAAAATGTGTGTCCTTTGTGTACCCAGTTTCCCTCCTGGAGTCAACCAAGTTGCCAGTTTCCTATGAATATTCACTAGTGTCCCAAGCATTTATAAATACATGCCGATTTACCAGAATTTTTATTCATAAATTTTTACTAGTTTCATTTTGTAGGTGGTATTTTAGAGAAAGTACTCACCTTGCTGTTTTTTAGCTTCACATCTTTGATCGTTTCTTTTGTCCAGGGTGCCGAAAATACCATCCTTTCTTTTCTACCCATGTTTTTAAAGACTCAACCAAACTCCCACCTCTGTGACAGGGCTTCCTGCAGCCTGCATTTGGCCTTTCCTAAGAATTGCAGGGTCTTATAGGATAGGCCAAAGCTTCTCGACCCCAGCACTGTTGACATTTCGGACTGGATGTTCTTTGTTGTAGGGCCCTGTGCTGTGTGTTGTAGGGTGTTTAGCAGCATTTCTGGCCTCTACCCACTAGGTGGCCTGTATCAGCCACCACCTCACCAGTTGTGACAATTAAAAATGTCTCTGAACTTGTCACGTGTCCCCAAGGAGGCAAAATTCTCTCTCAGTGATAACCACTGGAATAGAGCAAAGTCCAGTGGATACAGGCCTTGGCAGTAGACTTAATTTCAAATTTTAACTTTGGCCCTTACTATTTTGTGACCGTTGTCAAATTACTTAACTGCTGTGAATCTGTTTCCTCATTTGTAAAATCAGGATGGTAATATGTAATTTGTGGCTTTATTTTGGAGATTAATACTGAGAGACTCCTGATAAAGCATCCAGCATAGTGACTAGCACAAAGCAGCCATCATGTCTCCCCAACTGCGTTGTGATCACCTCAGAGTTATGGACCATGTGTTGTGAGTTCCACATCTCTTTGTAGCTTCCTTTATGTAGTAGGTGGTAAAGAAATGTTTTTGATAGGTTTCCTTTCTTAAATGAAAAAAGAAATGTATGTTCTTCTTATTCTTTACAAAATGGCTGACCTTTCTGTGATTTGACAGGTTCATAGATGAACATTACCACTTGTTTATTTCCTAAAAGTAATTACATAATCGAATCAATTGCTTTTTCAAGGTTTCCTTACCCAAGTATCAATCCTTTGATCCGTTCTTAGCTGTCTTCATTTAGCCATGGTGACCTTGTGTTGGGTAAGAGAAGGGCCATCCTGGTGGCTTTTGATGATGGTGGTGAGGACGCCATGTGCAGCCTCCCCCAGGCTGCTTCTCTGGCCTCAAGGGTGGAGTCTTCTGGTTGTCTGTTCACCCCCCAGCTTTCATTTCTTTTTTCTTTTTAAGTCAGCTTTATTGAGGTCTATTTTATGTCTAGCTCTTATTTCTAAATCCAAAAGAAGAGAAAGGGTGCTTGTGTTGGCAGTATTTGTTATTTGTGGTGCATTAAAGATGTACCACAGGTGATGGTTTTTTTTAAACACCATTGCTGTTCTTTAAACGTGGTTTTGACTTTCTTATGCAATTGAAAGGGTAGCTGGCATTTTACTTTTGAAACTTCATGGTTTTTTGCCCTTTCCAGAAACCTTGTAAAGAAGTGGCTGCTTGCCATTAAATGAAGCTTGGTAAGGGCAAGGCCCTGATTTTGGTGACTTTGCTACAACACTGGAAAGACTAGCAGTTATAGCTTGTAGCCCTGGATTTTTAAATTATTATTACTCTTTCCTGTTTTCATGATTGTTACACATTCTGCTCTCTCAGGCCCTCACTTGAGTAAGTGTTTTAGTGAGCGTTCACAGTTTTAGGTGCTTTATTTGTATTATGCTGCATGGTCCTCACCACAACCTTAGGAGGCCAG